AAATACTAAATTAATTCAGCTGGACACACTTTCCTTATTTTCTCCACAACAAATGGCCAAGCAAGTGCAGACACTGACAAGATACGCAATACAGAACGACACCAAACGCGAATTATTTGAATAACATGGCGTAAAACTTACAAAAACACTATCGATGCAAAGTCTCAACTGAGATCGTTGTACTTTAAAACAATTTTTAAGTACTATACGTTTAAAAATAATAAAGTATCATGTACTTAAAGAACATTTGAGAACTTATCTCTTTGCCATTTTGCAGTACCAAGTATCAGACAGCAGATGGCGTCCAGTGTTAAGTTTCCACAGTCTGTGATGATTTGGGGTGCAATGTCATCTGCTGGTTTTGGTCCATTGTGTTTTTTGAAAACCAAATTCACTGCACCCGTTTACCAAGAAATTTTGGAGCACTTCATGCTTCCTTCTGCTGACCAGCTTTTCCAAGATGCTAATTTTATTTTACAGCAGGATTTGGCTCCTGCCCACACTGCCAAAAGCACCAAAAGTTGGTTAAATGACCATGGTGTTGGTGTGCTTGACTGGCCAGCAAACTCACCAGACCTGAACCCCATAGAGAATCTGTCAAGAGGAAAATGAGAAACAAGAGACCAAAAAATGCAGATGAGCTGAAGGCCACTGTCAAAGAAACCTGGGCTTCCATACCACCTCAGCAGTGCCACAAACTGATCACCTCCATGCCACGCCGAATTGAGGCAGTAATTAAAGCAAAAGGAGCCCCTACCAAGTATTGAGTACATGTACAGTAAATTAACATACTTTCCAGAAGGCCAACAATTCACAAAAAATGCCTTTTTATTGGTCTTATGAAGTATTCTAATTTGTTGAGATAGTGAATTGGTGGGGTTTTGTTAAATGTGAGCCAAAATCATCACAATTAAAAGAACCAAAGACTTAAACTACTTCAGTCTGTGTGCACTGAATTTATTTAATACACGAGTTTCACTTTTCCACGACATTCTAATTTATTGAGATGCACCTGTACATTGCACATAAAGAACAGAATAGGTCAAACCTGTTTTCTGGTTTAGTGCAACTTTCTTGAGTGAGCAAACTGGCCATAAATCCATAAATATGGATTTAACTGCTTCGTTTATCTCCAAAAAACAACGAGAGAGTTATACCCTTAAGAAGTCCGTTTTCCTGCACCTGTCTTTTTTATACAACTAAATCCAACCACTAGAGGGTGGAGTTGGTTTATTTGATTTCAGGCCTTCTGGAATAAAGTTGAGACTTTATTTGTGATCAGCAGCTGCAGAAATGTACAGATGGTGTTGGATTAATGCTTCTAATGAATGTCAAGGAAAACAGATCATTCATTTGTTCAGAGTCGTCTCTTTAAAATATTACTTTTAGTTTTTATATGCCAGTTAAATAATGAGAAGTCAACATTTATTATTTTGAGATCAGTGGTCTTCTCAAAGCATGCTGCCATGTTAATTTTAGATAAGGTTGTTGAGTTGATGACCGAATCTTTATATCAAGTCACTTGACCTGAGTATTTGCAGAGACCCACTTTTCAATATTCGTCTGAGAAATTTGGTTCACTCACTCACTTTCCCTCTCCACAGGGTTCAAATCTCTATATCCCCCAGGATACTAATCCTAGTAGCAAACTTTCAAAACATAATTTAAGATTATTTAAAGGAGTCATGCCATGGATTTTTTTAATTACTATTTTAATATACACTAGTGGGTGGGGCCTATGGTGAGAAGATGACTATTCATCGCTGTCTTGCTCTGGAGGCAGTTTATGCAAACGACTGCATCCTTTTGACCGTCACATGGCACCTTGGATCCAAGCAAGCGGTTTTCTAAAGGTTATTACATAAATGCTTTTTTTTTTTTTTGATGATGAGGACATTTTAAGTTATGAAACTTGCAGGATGTATTAAGCATACAATGTCCACTTCTGTGTCAAAAGATAAAGGGAAATTTGGTTTCTCATGTCATGACCCATTTAAGAAATGTAATTTTTATTAAAGAAATCCCCATCCCCATTTTGAGACCGTATTAGCCCGCATCAGTCAGGGAAACTGATTGTGTGTGTATGTGTCTGTAAGCATGTGTGGAGGTTTACTGAGTCATTGTCATTGTCATTGAATTTGTTGCCTGCAGCAGTTATAGGGGGATCTGTCAAGCTAGTTATCAGTATTCCATTCATGTAGTTTCTCTCTCCACTTTCATATCTTTCTCTCATTCTCTGCGGTATTCTTTCTTTATGGTCATAGATTTCTTCCTGTTTCCCATATTTTTCACTAAAAGATTATTCAGAGACTCTCTCATCTTTCCTCAGCCCCTCAGTCTTCTTATATGTATACTCTGTAGAGAACCCTTCACTGTCTTATTCTGCCATTCTCAGCATTCCTAGATTGAACTGCTGTTATACCACTGTGAGTCTAAATCGAGAACTGATCTGATTTTCAATAGAAATTAGTTTGAGTCTGAATTGTGCATCTAAATTTGCAAACAGATGTATTTGAATTTGAGTGCAACCATATTGGAGATTTTCTATCTGTTGAAGCTGTTGTGTTTGAGGTTGCTTAAGGCAGATTTCATACTGATTTTCATTTGTACTGAGTCTGTATTGGAGTACAAATCTGTTTAGTTGAGTCTGAATTCAAATGCAAGACCATTAAAGCTTGAATTCAGAACAAATCTGTTTATGTAATTATGAATTAAGAACAAACCTGTGTATGTGAGTCTACACTGAGAACAGACACATGTGAGTCTGAATTGAAAAACAATCTACGTAGAGGAGTCTGATTTGAGAACAAATCAACTTAAGCATGTCTAAACTGAGAACAAATCTTTGTAGGCGACTGTCAATTGAGAACAAATCTATGTAGGCGAGTCTGAATTTAGAACAAATCTGCATAGGCAAGGCTGAATTGAGAACAAGTAGTCGTAGGCGAGCTTGAATTGAAAACAAATATTCGTAGGTGGTCCTAAACTGAGAACAAATTTACAAAGGCAAGTCTGAACTGAGAAAAAAAAGTATTTTTAAATTAGTCAGAATTTGATTATGCCATATTTAAGACATTCTACATTTTGGTCTGTTAACATGTTTTTGTGATTCTGAGTTTGAAATTTTTTTCAAACTCAAGAAAGAATTTTTGAACTTCATAGAAGGAGGACGAGGAGCACACAGAACAAAAAAAGAAATGTGAGCATCATCTAATAGGAAAAGCTGTTATCATTGTGTAGAAACCAAAACAGAGGTTATAAGAGCCATGTTGCGCCGTCTCATATGTGTGTTCTGGCTGAAATTCTCTTCATACCATTCCACTGATCTGATCTGATGTCAGAAATATGGCCGAAGCTTTTCCCAGCTTATCCCACCAAAGGAGCTGGCAGTCAGCGTTGATGCCAGACAGCGCCAGAACCCATGCAAGAGCTGATTTTGTTATCTAATTAACAAATTACCAAGAATAATGCTGTGTCATAATAACCCGATACTTTTGAAAGCTATGTGTTTAGATGTTCATTTCTGGAATTAGGGAAGTAATTGAGTTGTAGATCCAGCTGCCGCTGCCACCTGTGTGTGTGTGTGTCTGTGTTTGTTTTTGTGTGAACATGTGTGGGTGGTTACCTAGAGATTTGGGATTTTTTTCTGACTACAGTCACACGGGGAACATGAGGATTTTAGATGACTTACAATTCTATCTCCCATTGTTCACTGTAATGCCATGAAGTCAGAAAACCCATGACTGGATGGTACTAAAGGATTACAATTCCATGTGTGATGTCCTGTATTTGGATTGGCCTCAGCTGGCCTCAGCTGTTTGCACAGACTGATAGCTTTGTGTATTCATATAAAACTGCCAAGGTAGAAAAGTTCTCACATCTTTATGACCGCATTGCACATTTGGGTGAGTTTCAGCAAAATGTACCTGTACAAGGCAGCTTGCAGCGACATTCACGTCCCTAGGCCGAGAATTGCTCAGCGTTCTGAGAGAACCCCAGGCCGCTTCCTCCAGAGTAAAGGGACAGGATTGAGCTCACACCACACAGCAGGTTGTCCCCACTGGGAAGGCAGATCCAACTCTGCCCTGGAGCTGCAGCAGCTGGGG